CTTGGAGGTAATGTAAACTAATACAGCCAATATAGGAACAGTATGGAGGATCCTCAAAAACTAAAAATAGAACTACCTTATGACTCAGCTATCCTACTTCTGGGTATATACCTAAAAGAAATGAAATCAGTATATTGAAGAGACACCTGCACTTCCATGTTCACTGCAGCAGTATTCACAATAGCCAAGAGATGGCATCAACCTAAATGCCCATCAATGCCCATGAGTTAAAAGAACTGTAATAAATATACACAATGGAAGACTATTCAGCTCTTTTTTAAAAAATGAGATCCTGTCATTTACACAACATGGATTCAACTGGAGACCCTCATGTTAAGTGAGGTTAGTCAGGGACAGAAGGAGAAATGTCACAGTATCTCACTTACATGTGGAATCCTAAAAAAAAAAAAAGTGGCTCTCATAGAAGTAGAGACTAGAATAATGATTACCAGAGGCCAAGAAGGAAGTCTGAGGGGAGGGGAAGAGGTGGATTAATGGGTACAAAGTAATAGGGAGATAGGAAGAATAACTTCTGGTGTTTCGAGACTGACTAGATCTAATAATATAATTAGATATATTTCCAAACAGCTAGAAAAGAGGAGATAAATGTTTATGTTATGGATATTACTTCACTAATATGTATAATTAAAAATAAATTAAAATAAACAAAAGGGCCTCTCCAGCTTCTTATGGCAAGGGAGGGCTTTGCTTCTTAAAGAATTCCTGTGGAATGTTGTCTTCAGCTGGTTACCAAGGTGCTTGCAGACATTATTTCAGACGCTATGAAGCTCAGCTTGCTCCCAGAGGGTAAACGTATTTTTGATGCCCCAAAGGCTATGGATCTAAATGGATATATTATCCTATAGAATCATTCAGACACAAAATACTTCCACTGGTTGCTGGAAACTAGTATTTCCATGGGGAATAACTTCCAAGTCCCCCAGTAGATGTCTGAAACCACTGATAGTACTAAACCCTCTATATACCTTTTCCTACACACACATGATGTATTAGGGCTGCAGAAGGAGAGAGGGCAGTGCACGTACTGAAGACCTACCAACCACAGAACCTATCCAGGGAACTAGGGAAGGGAGCTGTACCCACGGTCTTGATGTGAGAAGGACATACCTGTCCCTGAAGAAAAGAGAAGCACAGACACTAGCTCAGGGCACAGGGGTGGGTGTGAGAACCTTACCGGGGAGGAAATAAGGGCCAAGTTCTCCAGCATCACACTGTGGTACAGGTGTCTGAGGCTCATCAAGGAGACTCCACTCCTCCCACAAGAGGTACACATCCATGTCTTCAAAGGTCACAGTGTCCTGCTCAAATGAGGACAGTTGAAACCACCTCTCTTCCAAAGACCCATAAATCTATTCTCCCACACACCTACACAATACCCATGCTCGTACCAAGTTCCTCATCTCAAAGGAGAAACCAGGTCTTGGTGCAAATGGTGCTGTTGTCCCCTCATGGGCTGACTGATCACAAGGTCCAGCCATGAGTGGACAGAAGCAAATATCTAAGCCATGGGCCCAGTATATAGAGAAGCAAATGAGTGGGTGCACAAATGTCCCCCTGGTATGGACAATGTCAGCTAAACCCAGGTCTGGGCTATCAGGAATATTCCCTCTCCAAGTGCACATCATTCTTTACACTTCACATGCCTCACATCTGGACACCACAGCCACATGCATGACTACCACCACCTCACTGCCCCATACCATAGGTCTCTCCACATATTAGACATGTTTTAATCCCCCTCTGTTCACCCCATTTGTGAGGGTGGCATTCCTACTCTAGGGTTATGGGGATGACACCTGATGCTGGACAGACTAGGCAGATGAATTCCACAGTAGTTTTTTGTTTGTTTGTTTTGTTTTTGTATTTGTTTTGAGTCCTGGACCTTGGTGTTACCAGTACCATGCTCTAATCAACTGAGTTAACTGGCCGGCCCACAGCACTTTCTTAATCAAAGGTACACACAGCCTGAGAGAGGAGGAGACCACACTCTACAGAGAGCCAGGTGCGGGTTGCATTCCAGAAAAGAGTGAATGACCAGGGTCTGTGGAATACAAGCTTTCTAAGATCAAGAGGGTTCAGTGACCTCTTCTTCCTCTGGGAAGATGCAATTTGCTTCTTTCAATGAGTCAAGGAAACGAAACCCTTACAAAGGGATAAGCAGGAACTGCACCTGACCCTCTTGATAAAAAGGGTTGTCTGGCTATGAGACATTATCCACAAGAGTAGAATGAGCAGAAAAGCTTCTATTCAGGCCATTTCAGGTTCTGCCTCTTTCCCATGTCAAGGCAGCACGTAATATTGGGACTTAGTATTAGACCTTATGCCACAACATGGCACACAGCATCCAGAGTACGTTTGGCAAATTGAATAGAATCAAGTACTTACCCCCAAACTCCCATGGATTCCACTTATCAGTGGCAGCCTAAAATCCTTCAAAGAAGACCTCTCTGTCTGGCTCTGTTCCTTGCCTCAGACTTAGCCCCACAGAACAACAGGTGGATCTCAAATATCCATGGCCCCATTCCACCTCTGTGCTGCACTTGCTGTCCTTTCACCAGTCACAACCTTGCTCTGTCACTTATTCAATAGCCCATCTCCATTAGTCACCATAGTAGGTGTAGTGGCTGTCACAGATGATCACATTTGCCTTGACCTTGTTCTTCAGCCTGAATGAAATACTCTAGATGCCACCAAAGATGTCACAAAATCCTGGTGAGTTCAGGATGGTGAATAAGCATAAGCTCCAGCTCGAGTGTCTTCTATGCCTCTGCATCCATCTCATGTCTACTCTTCCCTTGGCATCCTTGGCTACTATATTGTCCCCCAAAAGCCCATAATTCATTGCCACTTATCTCCCTCACCTGTGTTTATGAAGCCCAATGACATCACCTGGGCACTCAAGCAAGAGACCCAGTCTTCAGCCTCCATTCTTCACTTCCTGACCCCATAATAGCTTTACCACCATAACCTGAAGATTAAGCCTCCTAAATGTGATCCACAACTCACTCACCTTGGTCCACACAATATTTACCACGTTTTGGATATGTCCATCCTGAACCCTGCCCCCAATTTCCAAACCTCTGTTCAGCTGCCTGCTGAATACCCCAACTCAGTTGTCTCTGAAACATCTCAGACTCTTAACATGGTCAAAACAAAGCTCCTGGTATCCCCAGTGAATATTATTCCTACTATATTCTTCACTGTCTCAGTTGACAGATATTCCAATTCTACAGCTGCTAAGATAAAAAAAAACTTGGNTATCCAGGGAACTAGGGAAGGACGTTATACCCACAGTCATGATGTGAGAAGGACATACCTGTCCCTGAAGTAAAGGGAAGCACAGACACTAGCTCAGGGCACAGGGGTGGGTGTGAGAACCTTACCGGGGAGGAAATAAGGGCCAAGTTCTCCAGCATCAGACTGTGGTACAGGTGTCTGAGGCTCATCAAGGAGACTCCACTCCTCCCACAAGAGGTACACATCCATGTCTTCAAAGGTCACAGTGCCCTGCTCAAATGAGGACAGTTGAAACCACAAACAGCCTCTCTTCCAAAGACCCATAAATCTATTCTCCCACACACATACACCATACCCATGCTCTGACCAAGCTCCCCATCTCAAAGGAGAAACCAGGTCTTGGTACACATGGTGCTTCTGTCCCCTTATGGGTTGATTGATCACAAGATCCAGCCATGAGCAACAGAGGCAAATAGATATCTAACCCACGTTAGATGTGTTACCCATGTAAGTACCCAGTATATAGAGATGCACCTGAGTGGGTGCAGAGCTATTCCCCCAGTATGGCCAATGTCAGCTAAACCCAGGTCTGGGTCATCTAGAATACTCCCTCTTTAAGCACACATCATTATTTACACTGCACATCTCTCACATCTGGACACCACAGCCACACGCGTGACTACCACCACCTCACTGCCCTATACCACAGGTCTCTCCACCTGTTATTTGTGATTTAATCCCCCTCTTTTCACCCCACTAATGAGGGTGGCATTCCTACTCTAGGGTTATAGAAATGTCCAAGCAAATGACACCTTACGCTAGACAAATGAGTTTCACAGTAGTTTCTTTCTTACTTTTTTTTTTTGAAACTTGGACATTGGTGTTACCAGTATCGTACTCTAATCATCTGAGCTAACTGGCCAGTACATAGTAGTTTCTCAATATACACACAGCCTGAGAGGTGAGGAGACCCCACTCTACACAGAGCCAGGTGGGGTTTGCATTCCAGAAAAGAGTGAACAAACAGGGTCTGTGGAATATAAGCTTTCTAAGATCAAGAGGGCTGAGTGACCTCTTCTTCCTCTGGGAAGATGCAATTTGCTTCTTTCAATAAGTCAAAGATTGGCAAGAAACTGAAACCCCTGCAAAGGGATAAGAAGGAACTACAGCTGGTCCCCTTGATAAGAAAGGTTGTTCGGCACACCTCTCAGCATTGGACAGATCATCTAGGCAATAAATGAACAGAGTAACCATTGCTCTTTCAGAAGGAGAGAAGAAATCTAGGGTTATCAGAGGTGGGAGAGGAGGGAGCAGCAGATGGGGAGAGATTGGACAAGGGGCATAAAGAATAAGTACGATTTGTAACAATATATATGCAAGTAATATTGATTTGATCAACATATGTCAATATTGAACCTCCAAGATATGTCTAATCAATTATGATTCAATAAAAAATTTTTTAAAAAGGGTTGTCTGGCTAGGAAACATTATCCACAAGAGCAGAGTGGGCAGAAGAGTTTGTATTCAGGCCATTTGAGGTTCTGCCTGTTTCCCATGTCAAGGCAGCACATAATATTGAGACTTAGTAATAGGTCTTATGCCACAACTTGGCACACAGCATCCAGAGAATGTTTGGCAAATTTGAATAGAATCTGATACTATCCCAAACCTCCCATGGATTTATCTTGGCAGTGGTAGTCCCAAATTCTTCAAAGAAGACCTCCCTGTCTGGCTCTGTTCCTTGTCTCAGACTTAGCCCCACAGAACAACAGGTGAACCTCGGATATCCACGGCCCCATTCCACCTCTGTGCTGCACTTGCTGTCCTTTCACCAGTCACAATGTGCACTGTCCAGTGTTCAAAAGTCCAGATCCATTGGTCACCATGGTAGGTCTAAGTGGCTGGCACAGATGATCACAATTGCCTTGACATTATTCTCCAGCCTGAATGAAATACTCTAGATGCCACCAAAGATGACACAAAATCCTGGTGAGTTCGGGATGGTGAATAAGCATCCGCTCCAGCTTGGGTGTCTTCTATGCCTCTGCATCCATCTCATGTCTACTCTTCCTTTGGAATCGTTGGCTACTATATTGTCCCCCAAAAGCCCACAATTCATTGCCACTTACCTCCCTCACCTGTGTTTATGAAGCTCAATGACATCACCTGGGCACTCAAGCAAGAGACCCAGTCTTTGGCCTCCATTCTCACTTCCTGACCCCATAATAGCTTTACCACCATAACCTGAAGATGAAGCCTCCTAAATGTGATCCACAACTCACTCACCTTGGTCCACACAATATTTACCACATTTTGGATATGTCCATCCTGAACCCTGCCCCCAATTTCCAAACCTCTGTTCAGCTGCCTGCTGAATACTCCAACTCAGTTGTCTCTGAAACATCTCAGACTCTTAACATGGTCAAAACAAAGCTCCTGGTATCCCCAGTGAATATTATTCCTACTATATTCTTCACTGTCTCAGTTGACAGATATTCCAATTCTACAGCTGCTAAGATAAAAAAAAACTTGGAGTCATCCTTGAATCTTCTGTTTCACTTCCTCGCCTTCCAAATTAGGAAAACTAGTTGCCCCTTTTAAAAACATGCATCCAAAACCAAACCACTCTCCTGAGTCAATAACCCTCACCTGACCTATGGTAGTAGCCTCCACCTCGATCTTCCTTCCACCTCCTGCCTCTATCTCACAGTCCCTTCTCCATTCTGCAAGCAGATAAAGTCTGTTAAAACTTTGATGAGATCACCTCCCTCCTCTGATTCAAACCTCCTGTATCTCCAGAACAAACACCCAATTCCTCAGGCAGCCATTCTTGTCCTCACTTCTGCTCTTTGTTCCCACCTGAAAAAAGGAGACCTGTGGTTTCTCGTACAGTGACAGTTGAGATTTACCTCCTAGTGCATGTGCATCCTGGTACCAGTTGTTGGAATAACCTTCCAAGTGATTTAGTTTGGTCACCGGAAATGGGAACACTTCCATATATCACTGGCATGGACTGGACCTCTCACTTATCAACTCAAATGTATTAAACACTTAAGTAAGACCTGAAACTGTAAAACTACTAAGGGAACATATAGGGGAAACACTTTAGGATATAGGACTGGGGACAGATTTTATGAACAAGAGCCCCAAAGTACAAGCAACAAAAGAAAAAATATGTAAATGGGGTTTTATCAAACTTAAAATCTTCTGCACAGCAAAGCAAATATTCAACAGAGTAAAATGACAACCTACAAAAAGGGAGAACACATTCCCAAACTATGCATCTGAAAAGGAATTAATATCCAGAATATACAAGGAACTCCAGCAACTACACAGTAAAAAAACACATAACCCAATTAAAAAATGGGCAAAGGAGCTGAATAGACATTTTTTGAAGGAAGACATGCAAATGGCTAACAATCACTTAAAAAATGCTCAACAGCACTAATCATCAGGGAAATGCAAATTAAAACCACATTGAGATATCACCTCACCCCTATTACACTGGCTATAATAAGAAAGATGGAGAATAACAAATGCTGTCAAGGATGTGGAGAGAAGGGAACACTCCTACTTGGTTGGTGGGACTATAAATTAGTACAACCACTATGGAAAATAGTATGGAGTTTTCTCAAACAACTATAGCTAGATCTACCATATGAACCAGTAATCCCACTTCTAAGTGTTTACCCAGAGGAATGGAAATTATCATGTTGAAGGTGTGCCTTCACTGCCATGTTCACTGCAGGTGTATTTACAATAGCCAAGATGTGGAAAAACCCCAAGTGTCCATCGACAGATGACTGGATGAGGAATACTACTCTTCCATGAAAAAGAGTGAAATTCTGCCCTTCACAGCTACATGGAGGAGCATGGTGAAAATTATGTTAAGTGAAATAAACCAGACACAGTGGGAGAAATACCCCATGTCCTCACTCATAAGAGGGAGCTAAGAGAGAAGAATCAAGGAAAGACCACAGTGATGGATAGCAGAGGGAGAGAGCAGGGTGGAGTAGGGGGTAGGGGAGGAATGTTGGGGATTAATTGGGTGGGTGACATAGGGAATAATTGCAATTTGTGGTAATGGGCATGCTGATAGTATTGATATGGCCATCACATCTTGGGCACAGCTTTGTAACCAATGAATATGCAAAACCAATAAATAGAAAAAAGAAATAAAAAATAAAATTCTCACAGGCCCACTGTGTATCCTCATTCACTTTTGTTTAATAAGAAATTTTAAGAAACTTGAATATGACTTTTTCAGAATTAAAAGTTGCAAATCCAAAAGGTAAGAAAACATAAAGAAATTGATTTGACCTTCTAGCCTTTTACAATATTTGTATATCAGAAATTCTCCTTAAAAGTTAAAATCATGGAGGGTGCAGCAAGACAGCCGACTACTGTTGTGTGGTGCTCATTACGGGCCCCTCCCCCCCAAAAGAATACAGGAATCACAGATAAAACATATAGTCTACTAGTGGATATAATACAAATGATTACTGTACAATATGTGATATAATACGACATAAAATAAAGCATAAATGAAATAATATGAAATGATATGATATATGATATATGATACGGTATACTTTGCTATAGAGTGGTTGTGAAGAAAATAGAGTAGTTTAGTCAGGCTCCCTCGCCTCAGGGGTGGGGGTGGTGCAGCACATTCTTTGCAAACAAGTTGAGGGGGGGGAGGAGTTAGTGCACATGGGTACCGTGTATTTTTAGCTTGTTGCTATTTTTGTTTTTTTTCAGAGTGTGTGAGGCAGAGGCTCTGAACTGCTCCTCAACAGAGCTAGCCTCTGAAAATAAAGCCTATTGTTCCTTCACCCACAGCTCCAAGGACCTTTTCCTGTTACCTAGCTTGTAGACATGCACGTGTAGGGTTTGTGACCCAGCCTGGACAAGAGGCTGGAGGGGTCTGTGAGCTCCAGCCCTAGCTCTACAGTGGTGATAATATAATATAATACAATAAATATAAAAATGACACTGCCCCAGGGCTGAGTTAGAGCACCCATGGAAAAGACATCATTTCTCCAGCTTAGGTTCAGATCTTGTAGAAGACGACATCACCAGGATCATTGCATGGAAGAGAAGGCAATGGATGCAGCAATGGGAGAATTTGCTGAAATCTCTCTGGAATATAACAGAATCTTCAATCTAAGGAGCAAGAGAAAGCAGTTTACAAGAAAGCAACTCAATAGAGGCACCGGGCTACAAACCTACCTGAAGGAGGGCACTGAGGGGAAGGTGCAGGACAATAGGTGTCACTGACTGCTGTGAACTTCATGAAGTAGATGTGCAATTAGCTGCTGGTATGGCAAGAGTGGAGAAGCCATTCCCAGCAGGAGTCTAGTACAGTTGAAGCTGCCCATGCAGAGGAGCTGGGCACTGGGAAACCAATGGCACTGCAGGGACATTTCTAGTTCTTCATGACAGCCAACAACATGGTGATTTCTTTTTCTATATCCTCAAACTTGGTAAATTTCTTTCATTATATTATCTTGTAGGGTGGTTGAAACCTTTACTTTTACCTTCTAAGAGTCCCAAGAGGAGCCTAAGAATTGAATTGACATAAGATACACTGACAGGTGAAAAGCATACAAATTTAATGTGTTTTACATGAGAGAACAACACTCATGAGCAAATGAAGATCCAAAGAATTGGCAAAGCCTACATGATTTTGTATTGGTTTGAACAAAGAGAAGCAATTGTGGGAGAGTAACTAAATTATGTGTAAAGGCTAAAGGAATAGAAGGATTATTTTAACAAGGTCTAATTGTACAAAATTCTCCAGGCTCTGATTCCTCATCAACAAATGTTTCTTTTCTGCTGATAAAGGAGGATGTATTCCACATTGGAGTTATGTTCTCTTGTATTCAGGAAAAAAGGGGGAAGGTTAGAATCCCTTTTATGCAACTGCTGTTCTTTAAGTGCCTTTAACTCAAAGTAATCCTTATGAAATCAGGGGACAGACCCCCAATTT